TCCTTCCCCTTCCCCTTCCCCTTCCCCCCCCTCCCCCTTCTGGTTCTGCGCTGCTCGGGCTTTCCTGTCCTGGGCTCTTCTTTATACCGGCGCGGGAGTTCTCTGCCCCTCCCCTCCTGAAACACCTGGATAAGGGAGATTTCTGCCAGGCTCCTTGGGGCTGTGGACCTGGGGCTGCTGAGCCTTTGTTTAACCTGGGTGCTTTGGAGCCTGGTGGCTCCTTCTCTCTCTCACACCTACAACCTAGTCCCTGGTGATCAGATGCTGCTGCAAGAGGAATAGATAGAAAAAGACAGGTGTTAGGACCCTGGGGGTGCCTTCTATGCTGTGGCAGATAAATGAAACTAAACTTGGCAGGAGTGGGAAGCCCAGGGTCCATGCCCAGCAGGGGAGTGGGAGCATGGAGCTCAGGTGGGCAAGCTGTGAATGTGTGTTAGGTTTGTAGGGTGTGACAGAGGGTGAAAGAGTGTGGAGACTCCCCCGCATGCTCCCCCCTATGATGCAAAGCCCTTGCCACTGGCGGCAGCAGTGGCAGCAGGCGGTGGGCCCTCTGCGTGCTTGTGGCCTGCACAGGCATAGCTGCCCAGAAGTGCATGGTTCCAGCCAGTCCTAGGAGCTGCACATGGCAGCAAGGAACAGAGCCAAGCCAGCCCATCTCTATCGCACAGGGCTCCCTGCCACCCACATGTAGCTCTAGGGACTCACACAGCACTGGGGGAAAGCTCTGCATCATGGAGGTGGCTGTCTTCCCCGCTCCTTGCCACCATGTGCAGCTCACAGGACTCTGCCGGGAAGCAGTGCCACTTCCAGCAGAGTCCTGTGAGCTGCACAAGATGGCAGGGAGCGGGGAAGGCAGCCGGCTCTATCAGCCCTGGAGCTGTACATGAGCCCCAAACGAGAGAGGTGGGCCAGCCTGGCTCTGCTCCTCACCACCATGAGCAGCTCCTGGAACTGGCTGGAGTTGTGCACTGCCCAGTGGCTGTGCCTGCGTGGACCACAAGCATTTGGAGGGCCTGCTGCCTGTTGCTGCTGCTGCCACCAGCATTGGGGCTGTGTGCCATAGCGGGAGTGTGTGTGGGGGGTGCCCACACTCCCCTACCCCCTTCACACTCTAGAAACCCCCCACACCCACACCACCCCCAAAACCCTCCCATGTATACACACACTCCTTAATATATCCCACATCCCCCCACACACAGCTACACCCTCAGAAACCCCACACACTCACACACCCCACCATACACACACCTCACTCCCCCAACCACACCCCACACTCTCCCCCACACACAATATACAAGAGTAAGACTTTATTTTTGACCTATTATGCAATCACCTCTATATATAGTATGCAAATACACATAAATTAGGACAAAAATATTTTTTGAAAAAAGATTAAAATATGTTATAGTAGATGTTTGACATTTAGTATATGATTTGTTTGTTTTTTTTCTGGTTCCAAGATGGCAACCCCCACCTTCCCAAAGTAGTATTACTAGGGCAAGAAGAGAGAATTCTGGTAGCAAAGATCAGGGGTCAGAGGCTAAGACTTCCAGTCCCAAGTTGGTGACCAGGGGGTGGGGCACTTGTCAAGGTGCTGGGCTAACATTGCAGCCCTTGACAACTCACCAAAACTCATTAAGCATCCCTCCAGCCAAAATAATTGCCCACCCGTATACTAACATCTATAAGTAAAATGTAAACCTTTAGGACATGTGTAGATGAAACAAGAGGCATGTGTGCATGACACTTTAAAGAGGGCTAAATGCTTTTGCACCACTTTAATGGTGTTGGTGTTTGCATGCCTCAGCAGCATCTTGAGCATTAATTCCAGCTGCTGTAGGAAATTCAGTGGTGTAATGTGCCTTAAAGGACTTGGAGCGCAGCAAACTAAAACTGCTTCAAGGAGTTTTAGTTTACTGCCCCTACAGCTGTGGAGTGAAGCACCGGGCTACATACAGCTCAGGGGCTCTGCAGGCAGCCTGGCAGTAGCCCGGAAAAGCAGCAAGTCTGATCTTTTTGTTTCCCCTCCCTGGAGCCTTCCTGTCTGAGCTGCGTAGGGGCCCAGTGCTTCCCTCCATGGCTGCAGTGGCCCCCAGGACTGCCCAAGCTGGGTGCCTGCAGGTGGGTGCTGCCTGGGGGGGGGGGCACTGCTGCTGCAGAGGGATGCACCAGCCCCCTCCCTGCAGTGCAGGGACTGCTCTGCTGGCAGCTCACCCTCCCCTCCCTGCCAAAGAGGAAGGCAAGTCAGCAGGGTGTGTGCATGACACGGGGGTTTAATCAGCCCTAAATTGAAGTGGAGTTTTTTAAAACCCACTGCTTCAATTTAGGGCCTCTGTTTAATCTACATATGCCCTTAGACCACAGTGTGGTATGACTTTTGAAGGGAGAATGGGTGGGTAAGCACAGGGGTCCCTTCTGTGCATGCAGATAAGGGTGTGATGGGATCTAATGAGTGATCCACACAATCACACCCGCCTCCTGCCATGCTACATGTGCATGAGAGGAGGCATGATTGTGGGACTGTGAATCTGATCCCATCCTACCTTATTGCTGGTGCAGGGGGAACGCAATCCCATCCAGTTTTAATTTGCTGCAGGGTGTGTGAGGCACCCCTGAGTCTAGAAGCTCTGTCAGCTGATTTTAGCTTGGGCTGTCCATAGAACAAGAAGCACCTAAAGCAGCAAATGAAAAATAAAGGATTAAAATGAATGTGTGTTATTTTCCAGGTCACTAATACAAGCTGCAGGTTTGAAATTTCAGATGCAGAAGATCTACCCCTACATAAGGGACTACTATATATAGTTAAAGCAGACTACAACAATAATACATATTCAAGACAATGCAGGTTTATTCCTCAAGGTAATGCACTTGCACTTGTGAAAAGTTTTGAGGTTATCTGCAATATTTTTGTGGCAAGTCTCTCAGAATAGGTTTCTATCCTTTATTTCTATATATTATTACATATGGTTTTGTAAATCTGCTAAACTGATTCAGTTTTGTAATACATTCTAGGCCTTATTCTGCAAGAATCACTATGCCAGTGAACAAGTCAGTGTTTCCAGAGTCAATACCATTTGTCATGATAGTCCCTTACATACAGATCCAAGGGATTTAAGAGTTTATCGATGGGCTTAAGATTAACTACATACAGCCAGATCCAGGGGAGGTGCAGTGATGATGTTGCACCCTCTTTGATTGCTGCTCCACTTGAGCTTTAAAACCAACTGCCTAGGAGAGGCAGCACATTTCTATTCAGGCAGTGCTGAGAGCTTGATAGGCTCTCCCTGATTCCTCTCCATTTCAACTGTTAACAAACCTCTCTCCTTTTTAATAGGCTTGATGTTTCACTGTCCAAACTATCCTTTCTTCTGCAGTTTTGCAGTCTGATTGCCATTCCTTGTAATATCTCTCTTCTGCTTCACAACCCTGAAAACTGTTTTCAGCTCTAGCTAAAAACTTTAACTGGGGTGCGGTGAAACTAGCTCAGGTGTAGAAATGCCTAACAGTGAAATACCGGAGGCACTGTTAAAATGCTCAAGCAGGCTAGAAGTTGTTTTATGAATCTGAATACGAGATGTATTTTTAACTATAATGACAACAGGACTGATAAAATATCCTGTGACAATTTTTGCCGGTTTTGTTGTGGTTTTTTTAACTTAATATATACTCTAACAAATTACAGCACATACCGGCTGTGGCTCAGGCCAGAAGCCACGGGGTGCTAAAGCATGCCTCCCAGCCATTGCCAAAGGGAAGGGAAGAGAGAAGCCCTTCAAGGTTTCCCCACTCCCTGCTCAAGTGGAGGGGGATGTGGCCCAGTATGCTGAGTCTTTGGGCCAGGGCCAGGGCCAGGGCTTTAACCCCCACTCCCTGGCCCACATAGGACTCCAGTCTGTCTGGGTTGGGGAGTGTGCTGTCCCTGCCAGGCTTATCTCCCACTCCCCACTCCAGGCCCAGGCCACCAGGGTGAGAGGTAGAGAGGGGAATTTAAACCCCATCCCTGCCTAAAAGGAACCCCCACTGGGGTCTGTCTGGTGCAGGGGGTGGTGCAGCCCATGCCAGCCTTTACCCCCCCTGCTACTTGCTGAGGGGCTTCCTCCCTTGAGTGGAGATGGGGGGACATGGCCACACCCCAGCGTGGGGCTTGCACACTGAGGTGGGGAGGCAGGGGGTTTAAACTCCCTTCCAGTCCCACATGGGACCCTAGACAGGGTTTGATGGGGGGCAGCCCCTGTCAGGCTTTAGCCCCATAGCTCAAGCAAAGAGTGGGGTGCCTGGCCAGACCCCAGCCTGGGGCTGGCACTCTGAGGTGAGGGGAAGGGAGATTTGAACTCCATGCCGGTCTGCCTGGGGCGTCAGCCTCTGCCATGCTTCTGTGCCCCCCCTTCCCCCTTCCTGCTCAGCACAGGGGAGTCCATGCCAGGGTTTTGCCCTCCCCTTGAGCAGAGAGCAGGGGATGTGGCCAGGCCCTGGCCAGGGGCTCACAAACAGGTTGGGAAGCCCTCCCCAGCTGCATGGAACTACAGCCTGGGTCTCCCTCGGTGGGAGGGGTCAGCCCTTGCCATGCCCCCACACACTTCTTGAATGGGGAGTAAGGGGTACAGCCACTCCCAAGCTGGGGGGTTTGCAGCATTTGCCCAGGAGGGGAAGCCTCTGCCAGGTTTTTGCCCCCCACCCCCACTACTCACTTTAATGGAGGGGGGGAGCATTGCCACACCCCAGCCTGGGGCTCACACACTCAGGTAGGGAGGAAGGGGGCTTTAAGCCCCCTGCCTCCCTGCCTCAGCATACCAGCCCTTGGCCGGGCCATAGCTAAGCCCTCTGTTCTCTGCTCAAGCAAGGGAAAAAATCCTGGCAAGGACTAAAGTCCTCCCCCCCCACCCCCACCCCGATCAGAGAACAAACCACAGCTGGTGTCCAGAACGAGTGAGGGGGCTTTCAACTCTCCTCCCCGTATCCACACAGGACCCCAGCCAGGGTCTGCCTGGCAGGGGTGAATCAGTCCCTGGCTGGCTTTTCCTCTCCTTCCGGCTCAAGCCAGTTGCGATCCAGGCTGGCACAGTAAGGTGGGGATTTTCTTTTCTCTGCCTTAGTATACCAGCCTGGCTTGTGTTTGGCCACACACCCCTCCCCTCTGCTTCAGCAGGGAGCAGGGAAAAAGCTGGGCAGGGGAGGGGGTTTAACTCACCCTCCCTCCCCTGTGCCTCTGCCTGCTGGCCTGGTCAGCATCTGGCCATGCCCCCCCACTTAGCCATCCACTTGAATATGGATCAGAGGAAAAGATTTATGGGCTGCTCTTCCCTGTAAGGCAGGCCTTAGCTGGGATTTAGAGCCAGGTTTCCCACCCGGTGATAGTGCTCTGGCTAGGGAGCAGTGGTGGGGCCACCCCTGCTCTGGTGGAGCACACAGTTCAGCCTAGGGCTGAAAAGCATCATGAGATGCTGAAATAGTGTTAACTTGAACCAGGCAGGGGTCTGGGGCAGAAGTTCCATGAACTGGTTTGACCCAAATCAGTTAAGTCTCATACTACATCCAACCAGGTTTCTCTTAACCCAGTTTCAGCCATTTTGAAAGTGGTTTAAGTGTACTGAACTTCTTTTCTGTTACAAGTTTAAACAAAGTTGTGATCATTTAAACTGATTTATGTGTAACTTCTGTCCCTAGCCCTTCAGCTAACGAGCTCTCAGCTCAACTGTGCACTCCTCTGTGTAGGGCTGACTAGGTTCCACATGCACACTGCTCTCTCTTCCCCTTACTCCAGCCTCAAGCTCGTCTTCCTTTTCCCCTTGCTCCCCACCACCCCCCAGCCTCTGAAGGTTTCTGGGAGTTGCAGTCCAAATTGACACTGGAACAGGTTTCCTAGAAAAAAGGTGGAAGCTCCATCTTTGGAAGTTTTCAAAACCCAGCTAGACAAAGCTCTGGCTGGTATGATCTAGTTGGGGATGGTCCTGCTTTGAGCAGGAAGTTGAACTGGGTGACCTCCTGAGGTCCCTTCCAACCTTAACTTTCTATGATTCTAAGACAGCCAGCACCTCTCTTCAGACTGCTCCTTGGTTCCTCCTTCTGTTACACACATTACATTCATGTTGAACTTATTAGTAAAGCTTCTAGTTTCTCTTTAAGTGGAGAAAAATGTGTGTTGTAAAAAATGTGTGTTATGTGACAAAGCACCACACCATCTGCACCTGCCTTTCAAAATACTTGATCTGCCAATGGGTGCATCTGTCTACAAATGCAATCCTAAAATTGCCTCTTCGACTGCTTGAACAAGTACTCTACACACTAGGGCCTAAGGGCCATTGAGAAAATGGTGGGTAGTATGACCACTTTCTCTTCCCTACTTGATTTGAGAATGGAAGAGCTTGTGATCTGATATCACCCTAAATTGCATGCTGCTGTCAGTATGAGGTTATGTGGGCAATTTGGATGGCCTTTGTGTCCAGGTTCCTAATTTTTATGTGTTGCAGTGTCCAAGTGAAGATGCCTATGAGAGTGAGTTGATCTGGCCCTGTATCCTAAAGCAATAGTCCATTGTTTTGCAATGTGGGGTCTTTTTTACTTATAGGCCTCAGAGGAACTGAAAATTCAAATGACATTTTCAATATAAAAGATATGGTGGCATATTCCAATATAAAAAATTATATTGGCATATTCCAATATAAAAGATATGGTGACAAAAAATGAACACCTGCACACTTAGATAACTGAACTATTCAGCTGGAGTCACAGATGCTATTATAAATTTGTGCAAAGATGTACCTGGTTTGGCCATTAGTTTTCTTGCTCCTCACAAATCCAGTGTAATGTATAAATTGACATGTCAACTTTTCTGCTTTTTTCCAGGCATGAATGGAACATCTGTGGAAAATTTCTCCTGCATAGTTTACAACCATTCCTTCATGAATTGCACTTGGAATGCTGGGAGAAATGCTCCAAAAGATACCCAATATTTTCTTTATCAGCAGTTCTCAAAGTACATAGCGTTCACTGGTTTAAAGAACATTTCCATTCTGATTTGTAAGGGGATGTTCTCGGTGTTTAATTGAACTATTTTGATATTTGCAGGTCAAAAGATGAGATAGAATGTCAGCATTACATAAAAGATGCTCACGGAAGACGTACCGGATGTATGTTTCAACAAGTTGACAAACGTAACCAGGTTTATTTCCTGGTGAATGGGTCCAGTACAGAATCAGAGATTCAGTTGTATGATGAGTATGTCCACCTGTATAAAACCGGTAAGAAAGAAGTTTCTTTCCACTTTTAAACAAAGGAGGGTAGGGAAGAACCATGCTTTGTTGCAGAATTTTGCTCCAGAATATAAACTTTCCCACCTCATCCCGCAGTTTTCTTTGAAACCCGTTTCTAGCTTTTATAATTGAAAAGGTATTCCCAATGTAAACCATGAATAAATGAATGCAGTGATGAGGAGTCTACATAAATGTAGAGACAGTCCAAAATAATACCTGTGACTAGTGGGAATAACTCAATTTATTTGAAATGGAGTATTAACTCTTAGACACAATGATGTAAATATTCTACACTATTTCATCAAAGACTTCGTTAACAGAAATAACTAATGGTCTTTTTCCATCGTCCTGTAGTTCTTGGCCTCCCTAGCTGCAAAAAGCCACAATTACCTAGCTTCTCCTCTTTAAAACTGTGATGCTTATTGTCAATATAAAAGCCAGACATACTAGCCATTTAGGTCATGGGAAAAAATGGAATTTATTAGGAAAATAAATGCCACAAAGGTTATATTGCTAGCTTTAGCTGACCTTTTTGGAAAAATTAAAACTAAAACCATTACAAAAATTCCCCTCTACTGCACTGGGTTGTCACTGAAACTCAGGAGTCTTTTGCAGAAATTTGTTCCACTTAACCACAAAGTACAAGGCTGTATTCTCTGAGGCACCCTTGCAAAGCAACACCATACACTTTCCTCCTGATACTGATGCTTTATGATTCTTTAAGCTATTGACTCTTTAGGACCTGTAATATCAATGCTTTCTTTCAGAAATTGTCCCCCCTCCACTTCATATCACTGTAAAATGTGTTAAAGATCCACCACATTGTACAGTGCAATGGGAAATGCCCTCTGAGTATGACAGATGTCTTCAATATGAAATTGACATACGAAGTAAAGGAAATGAGGTAAGAGTTATTTTTGGGACAGCTTTTGAAATTGGTATATATTCTATGTTTACGCACACAGGCAAGTATAAACACAACATTTACATAACACTTCTATCCACTACTGAGGCAATAAACATAAGAAGTATCATCCTTAATTTTAGATTCAGTCAACTATTCATGTACGATTTCATAGTTATTTCCTCATTTACTAATTCTGTTTCCAAGAGAAGTGGTGCTGGCTCCTATGCTGGGGGTCTTTAAGAGGAGGCTAGATGAACATCTTGCTGGGGTCGTTTGACCCCAGTAGTCTTTCCTGCCATGGCAGGAGGTCGGACTTGATAATCTGCTCAGGTCCCTTCCGACACTACCAACTATGAAACTATGAAACTATGACTGTCTTCCTATGCTTCAATTGTTTATTCCCAGCCTTGGCTAACTGTGCTTCCATGTGGTATTCCACTTCCTATTACACCATTGCTCCCACTAACCCAGAAAGACTGTAACCCTACTGTGGCAGGGCACTGTTTGTGCCTGCCACTTTAAGACCTGGGGCCAAGCAGCCAGCAGGTGCTTAATTGCGGTGGCCATTTTAGAGCTCTGGCTGCCCATATAATCAGGGCATTTTGCTGGTGGCTGGTGGTGACAGCATCATCACCTGGCTGTGAGGCTTCATGAAATACTCTGGAGGTAAGGCAGAAGCTGTAGGGAATGGTCAGGAGGCTCCTGGTCCTGGGCATGACTTAAAACTGCACCCTGCTGGGAGTGGGTGGCCTGGTGGTGCGGGAGCCCCCAGGAAATGTCAGGCCAGTTACCAACACAGTGAAAGGCAGGTCGGGGTGCCTTAACTCCAGCTCCCACAACCAGGTGGGTTACTCCCTTGTAGGGTCTGGCAGGTGGACCCCAGAGAGAGAGTGGGGCCAAAAATTCAGAAACCTGTCTTTAAATTCCCCGACTGGTCAATGCTGGGGCCAAGACCAGAAGGGTTGAAGGGCCAGGGCCCACCACAAGGGACGCCCAGAGCTGACGGCCTGGGGTTCCAACTGGCTTGGAGGTGAGGCTAGGGCCAGTGTAGCCAAAGGTCCTGGGGGGGCCACACCCATAAGGGGGAACAGCTCAGGGAGCTATGCAGCCTAGAATGAAGGTAGAATAGGCTACCTGAATGGAGGGATACAGGTGGGGTTCATATAGTAGGATTCTGGGGCCCAGAGTGGGGCCGGTGATGTTGACAACAGAGGATGCCATCTGTGAGGCATGGACTGTGGTGTGGGGAGCTACAGAGCCACAGATAGGACCCCCTGGCATCGGGGCAAGACAATGGGCAGCCTCCCACTTATTAAGATCATTAATTAATTAACATCAAGGCATGGCAGGAGAGAAGGCAGGTGGTTGGTCCAGAACAGGTGGGCAGGCCACAGGTAGATCAGCCCTGAGCAGGCCCCCTGTTACACCTACACATAAATCCAGGAGCCTGTTCCTAAAGATGTTCCAAAACAAAGAAGGCACTATAAAGTATTTTTTAGTGTGACATGTAAGAAACTCAGCTTGTTCATATGTACTGTTCCTAAGCCTGCAGATCTCTAGACTATTGATTCCTTTTTTTAACCTACCTCCATCATCAACTATCTCTTCCTACAGTGAAGACCCTTAAGATATTTCATAGCAGATGTAACTACACAGGCACAGTTATAGTTATGAGTGTCTGTGTATCTTCTTTATAATGGTCTTTTCACAGACATCTTTTGACATGTAAGACTATTCTAACTTCAAGTATAACCTACCCATTTTTGTTCCACATGAGATAAAACAAGTATAAATGTTTGCTTCAGAGTTGTGGGGCTTAACCAACCTGTTATCCCTTCTGTTCACCTGAGATAATTGCTGAATGCATCCTCAGTTACTGTGACTACCTGGGCACCGAGTGGAGGAGAAAGGTGAAATCAAATTATGACAAGATGTTTATAGACCTGGATTTCGTCATGAAGAAAACAGGGGCTGCCTGTACTAACTTTGATGGGAGGTGCTTAGAGTTGAAGCTGGCCTATGGTATCTCCTTCTCTATTAAATGGCCAAAAAAATCAGCCAAAGCTAGATGTCATATGTCACCTGGTCATAGAAGGAAAGGAGGTTGGTCAGGCAAGACCTACCTACAACAAAGGCATGTTGGCTGTCTCTCAGAAAGTTGCCTTCCATTAGCCTGTTGTTGATGGTTTCTTTGATTTTTTTCCCATAATCTTTCCAGGGGTTGAGGCCCAACTGATTGGGCTGTAGTTCCCTGGATCTTCCTTTCTTGAAGATAGGCACCACATTAGCCCTCTTTTAATCTTCAAGAACCTCTCTTGAGTGCCATGAGTTCTCAAGTATCCTTGCCACTGGTCATGCTATGATGTCAGCCAACTGTTTTAGCACCCCTGGGTGCATTCCATCTGGACCATCTGACTTGTGGATGTCCAGTCTCTCAAGCTGTTCCCTCATAAGATCTATACCAATTATAGATGTTCCCCACCCAGTTTCACACTCATGTAGCTGAGTGGAGAACAAGTTGCCCAGCCTGTTCCCCACCCACTCCACACAAACAGAGCTGAGCGAGCAACAAGCTCCCCATTCTCCTCCCAGCATGCAGGGGCTGGGAACTGTCCTGATCAGGGGCAGGTCCTAGCCCCATGTCCCAATCAGGTGATCAAGGCACAGGATTTGGAAAGAGCTGCAGGAGTGGGGTAGGTCCCAGTCCCCTGACCTGATGTGCCAATGGGGCAGCTAGCAGCAATCTGGCTGCTGGTTTCCCCACCAGCAGATTGGGGCAGGAGGCTGAGACCTCCCCCTCCCCTGAAGCATTTTCCAAGTCCCCTGCCCCTGATCAGAGAGCCAGGTCCAGGAGTTCCCTGCTGCTGGGGCAAAAACACATTGTCCCCGCAGCCTCCTGGAGCCAGGAGACAGCTATCTCCTGGCCCAGTGCTACCTGCCAGCCCCTGGGCTAGCACCTAGGGGGAGCTTAGAACTCCCCACAGTGGCAGTAGGGGTTCATTGCAGGGCCCCAGGAAGTGGGAGCAGCTTGCTGCCATTGGCAGTAAATCTACTCCTGCTTCCCTGCACTTGGAGACACCTGCCTAGGACCATTTACTCATGGGTAGTTAATACATTATTATTTCTGTAGGATTTTAGGTAGCAGCATACAACCCAATTGTTATTAAAAAGCAAATAATCAGTTGTTATTTTAGCTGCTGTTACACAGTTTTCCAAAATTATTCATTGTTGCATAGTTTATTATTAATAGCTTCCATAAATAGATTCTTATTCTACTTTCCAGGATCCTGTTTGTGACTTAAATGTAACCTTTAGAGGTGCACCGCTACATCAGTCCATATCGTATCAGCACTGATAAAATGAAAAATGATGTTATCAGTAACTGGCTTTTTTTTGGGCTGATGTGGCTGATAATGTCACTGATAAATGCTGTGTGCATGCATGCTGTGTGCAGTCAGGAGTGCAGCCTGACAGCTTAGAAAGCAGGCTCTGGCCGGTAAGTCTGTGGAAGAGAAGGTGCATGGGGGAAGGAAGGGACTTGCAGGGGCAACCTGGCACTGTCTCCAGCCCTGAGAGTGTAGCGGGCATGCCTTCCTATGCCTTCCCCAGGGTTGCATGCATCAGTGGGAGCTGCTCCCCACCCCCCACCCCCCGGATGAGCTGTTTGTGG